GACTATTTTTGCAAAATGACTTATTTGGCCAAAAGGTGGCTAGAAGTGCAATATTTGGCTATGACCCCGCAAATCCAAGAACCTAAGATTTACTAGGAAGACCGGACGCTATGTGGGTTGCCTACATATCACGCCCCGAAAGACGAGAATCAGGTTTGTGTAGTTCGGGCATATAGGATACGGGCGAGAAATAAAAATAACAACTAATTTAGAGAAAATATGTTTTTTCTTTCTTTTTTTTTGAAAGATGATGAAACATGTAAAATTTTCTTCTTTTAAATTTTCTTTTTCTTTTTCGATTTTTGATTTTTGAAAAAATGATAAAAAGTGCAAAATCTTTTTGAAGTTTTCATTCTCTTTTTTTCTGAATAAAATGTAACAAAAATATAATTGGGCCCTACTCGCTTCATCCTCACACTTCACCCTTTCTTTTTCTTTTTTTTTTCTTTCTTCCTTCTTTTTCATTGTTTTTTTTTCATTTCTTCATTTACCCTCAGCTATCATTGGTCCGCCAAATGACTCTTTTACTCTTGAATAAATGGAACATGTAGCACATAAGATGCATCAGGATGGTCTTTTATTTTTTGGGGTATACCTGTCCTAGACGGACCCAACCCCTGTATTGAGTCCCCAAAGTTGAATGCACATGATGTAAACAAACGTTCCTACTAGGGATCTGGCATGAGGCTGAGTTGTTCTAGGTTCAAAACCTGGGTATATGTTCTAGACTGTGTACCCGAGCGGACAACCCGAGCCGAGGAGGGGGCTACGTACCGGGAACCAAAAGGCCATCCGGCTTAGTAAATCGAGCCTCTTTCTTATTTCAAGGTATGACACTAACAGGATAGGGAGTCTCGACCAACGAGCACATCCCCGAAGATGAGGAGAGAAGGGTTTCGTAGTAGTTTATATACAGTTTCAGATAATATCAAAGCGGTAAAAGCAACATTTAGCACATTAGGGCCCAAAAAAGTAATAAAATCAGATAATAGATAAAGCCAAATATAACAATTCATCTAAGCTCGAATTCTGAACCCTGAACCAGAGATCCTGGGTTCGATCCCCAGCAGAGTCTCCAGAGCTGTCACACCTCCTTTTTACACTTACACCCCCGGAAAAGGGTACAAATAAAGGGAGTTTTTCCAATTAATGGACAACCGAAATGAGATTTATTTGTTTAAAGATTCAGAGTCGCCACTTGGGAGATTTATGGTGTCCTAAGTCACCGGTTTAATCCCGAATCGAGGAAAATATGACTCTGTTTAACAGTCCGCGAACCAGAAATCCGAGTAAGGAATTCTGTTAACCCGGGAGAAGGTGTTAGGCATTCCCGAGTTCTGTGGTTCTAGCACAGTCGCTCAACTGTTATACTTGACCAATTATCTGATTTTGATACATGTTCAAACCTATGTGCAAATTTTAACTTTAAACCGCTTTTATTCATTTTAAAAAAAAAAAGAAAATTGCAACGTTATTAAAACATGTCGCGAACCACGTCACATAAATGCACCCGTTGTTTTGACATATTTTAACATCGTTGAGATTTGGATTTGGGTCACATAAATGTGCACCCGAGTTTAGGAAAGTGAATTATTAAATGGCGCGCCTAAAGCAACTACGCGTTTGCAACTTTGCGAAGGGCCATGGAAATTTGCTATATGGCACGCCTCGATTTTTAATTTCAAAGGATTTTATTATTCGAAGTTGTATAATCGGGTTACATGAAATGCACCCCCGAATTAAGATTCACATACCGTAACCATGCCACGGGAATCGTACTCATGACCACGATAACTTAATTACCCATAGTTACGATGTTCGAGAGTTAGTGAATTTCCCAAGATTTTGACAATATACCAACATTCAAACATTGGCCATTTAAACAAATGCATTTATATATTAAACACACGTTAATACACTATAGAACTGATGCCTATTCATCATACAAATGCTACATAACTAATTTTATAAGGAATGTCCATTATCCAAACACACTACAGTGAAATCATAAGAAGCCAACTAAACATTTTTAATAAATTTCCAACATTGATAGTACTCTCTGATTTCACACTTCATCTTAAACACATCACAATGCTTTAACAAACACATAAAAGAACGAAAATAGTTGTCAAACNCACATGTCTACACCGACTACAAGTTGTGATGTGAGACGGAGGCCTAAGGGGAGAATGCCCTGGAATTTTGGACTCATTCACAGAACAGTCGCCTAGATGGCAAGGGAAGTTCTAAAGTATTCGGAAGGTATAAGTTACGAAAATGATAAGTGCATCATTCAACATTCAAGGACGAATGTTCCAAAAGGGGGAATAATGTTACGCCCCGCAATATTACGTCAATATCATGTTCCGCAATATTACATTATGGTGATGTCACGCTTCTAGTATTAAGGTACGATGATGTTGCACCCTGAAGTATTGTACGTAGAATTTGTCGTAAGGTAATTAACATCAGTCCAAGTAAAAGATTATTTGGAGGTTATAAGGATTATGCTATTTCACAAAGTGATTAGTAAATTTGTGAAGGTGAGAGGGGAAGCAAGTTGAAGAAAATGAATTTCGTTGAAAGTGACCAATTTGGGATAAAATACGGGTCGAGCGATAATACTCGATAATTATAAACTAGTACCTTGCGAGATACCATATGACCACAGTAGTGTAATATATAAAGTATATATGAAGTAATTTGAAAATAAAGAGAATTTTAAGTACTTTGTGATAATTCTTAAATTATGCGAGTAATAGATTAATTACCGGGTAACGAAATATTACCCG